CAGGCACACCCAAAGAAGAGGAACGGATTTCTGGAGAAGGTTGGCGCGGGTGGTGTTGCAGGGGCTGCAGCGTGTGAGTGTGTTTATTATGTTTCTAGACCCTATACAGGGTTCAAATGCAGTATATTCAGTCATTTTCTAGATTCCATACATGTATGGACTAAGATCGCCTGCAACCCGTGCACAGGTGGAGCAGACAGTGAAGCAGTCAAGCCGGAGACGACTGTTGAAGCAGCTGAAGCAGGTTGGATATTTGGGTGGGTGGGAAGGCAGACAGATTCTAGGACAAGATCCTGCTAGGAACTGCCTCCTGATTCATTTTCTATACCTCTAGGCCACCAGACCATAGGGCAGATGACTTCTTTCATCTTCTTTCCTAATTTGTAATCACTGTGGACATGACCCTCCAGTGAACCATGTTGGGAGATATTGGGATGATGATGGATGATGGGTGAAGCATGAGTGTAACGACGGCAAGTTGATTTTGTAGAGAGTTCAACTCACAGATGTTCATGATGTCTAGGCATTTTCTAGACCCTTACCCTCTGGACCACCACAGCACTGCGTCCAACCGTGCCCAGGCACACCCAAAGAAGAGGAACGGATTTCTGGAGAAGGTTGGCGCGGGTGGTGTTGCAGGGGCTGCAGCGTGTGAGTGTGAGGGCGCCTAGAGCTTCTAGAGACACGTTTCATTCAAATATTGTTAACTGTGTCATTCTCATTGATTTTCTAGACCCTATACTGCTCAACGGTACCAAGCATCAGCTTTGGTTCAGATTGGGGGTGCTGTGTTGGAGTCAGTGTGAGCGCAAGGTCAGTGTAGAGTTTCTAGAGCATTCACCAGGGATGATTTTGTGGAAATTTGCATTTTCTAGACACTTTTCTGGTGATACATGTGCAGACCAGGAGCATGGCTCGCAGCTGTGCCCAGGACAGGGTGCAACCCGTGCTGAAGAAGACACACGGCAGAAGACAGTTGAAGAAGGTTGGATATTTGGGTGGGAGGGCAGGTGGGATACATCGTCACTCTAGCAGAGCCGTCACACTACCCGTCAGTCAGCTCAGATAAATGAAGGGGGAGATGCGTTCAACTTGACATTTTCTAGTCACAAGGCTTTTTGCAATGTTGATTGCTTGTGCATTCTCTAGTGAGTCTAGTGATCACTGTCATTTA